GAGCTGAGAAATAAAGAGAGAAAGAGAGCGAGAGAGAGAGAGAGAGAGAGAGAGAGAGAGAGAAAGAGAAAAGAAGAGAGAGGTTTCGACGGGCGAGAAAGAGGAAGAGAAATGGTTATTGATGACCAGCTTTGTTTGCCCCCCGAACCGTTTATTAAAATCCAACGCGGGTGATTAACCTCTCCCCGGCTGCGTCGTCCTGACAGCTACCAGGCGAAAATACCACCGCAGCCGTAGCGACGGTGTATATAGGATTGACCGGGGAACCGTTTATTAAAATCCAACACACAACCAGAGCCTATCCGAGGCGGCTACTAGGCGGAACAGCTCCGCGCCGGCCGCTTCATGAATTAGAATGATGTAGAAGTTTCTTCGCCGGGTTCTCGCCCCGGCCGAATTGAGCAATTAACGCATTACGAGCCGGAGCCGTTTCGGGCCCTGTCCGCGGGAGGATAAATTCCTGATAAAATATAGATTTTCGTGAAACCGTTTTATTGATCGTAAAAGCGGATGAAATGTATCCCCGCGTCGCGCCCCCCGTAAAAGTCAATCCGCCGAGATAGTTAATATTATTCGTAATGCTGTAAATAAAGGTGAGTTACGCGGTGGGGCGTGGGTAGAGGCGAGCCACCGCGGGAAACGTAATTAGACCGGATGCAGGGAAACGTCTCGGAAGTGGAATTAACGGATCGAGCGAGGAGGACGTTAAACCCGGACGCTTCCTGATCCAGCGGGGAGTCGTACGGTTTTGATCCCTTGCCTCGTCGCGTTGTACTGGACTAAGATTCGTTCAATGAAATTCAACACTTGGCGCTCGAAAGTTTTCCACTGGAACTGTTCGATACTTTTTTATGAGATATAAACGACTTTCCTCGAAACCAACTATTAGACATAGAGTTAGCAATGACAGCCTTCTATGGATTCTATTGAGTAAACTTATAATCAGTTGAAAAGAAGAACGGATCTTAATCTCCATGACAATATTTATGAAACAAGTTAATGTAGTTGTCTTTACGTCCCAATCAATTGTACCGAACAGACGTGTTTATTTATTGTCTTAGTTAAATGAAAACTGGTTCATTATTCTCCATTATAAAAGCCAACACTAACTAATGAGAAGCCGTACGTAAATTATGAAACGAAGCTACTTTATTTCAATATTATGTATAAGGTTTTATTAAATTTGTTATATCAAATAATGACTGAAAGTCACTACACAAGTGTAAAGGGTTGCAATGTATATTATTGTGTACTGTAGTGTATAAATGTATCATGTGTTACATGCTATTTGTTGTTACAGTAAAATTAAAGAATGTAGTAGCTTGTTTTGAAACTAGACGTATTATATCGTGTTTTAGACAAATCGAAGGGAACGAAGAACTTTTGTCGTTGATTAAAAGGTTCGTTGAAGTAGTAGTAATCATTTGTAAGAAAAAAAGACTGTATAATTTCAATGTATATTTAATACGCACGTTATATACAATGCGAAAAGAAGAGGTAGCAAAGTGCACACAAGATTCCGCGTACCAAATTGCACCGCCTTATCGGTTGGCCGTGTGCCATGAAATATTAAGATAATCGTCTCCCTCGTATTCAAGTAACAATTCGACGATATCAGTTAATATTAATCATGCTTAATCTTTCGACTTCCGCGACCTCTCAATTGAGCAGGGTGTCTTAACGTCTTAGCGCACTGTCTGCGGAGGACTTTAATTTTTTACCATTCGCTTGGTTCATCACGTCGATTAAATTTATTTTTCTATCAATGAACAGTATTCGTGTACGCTTATCTCGTTTACATCATTGTCGAAAATATAAGTATCTAATTTGAAAAAGAAAATATTAATTATAATTCAAGAGCCTACAATATTTTCCTCTTTTCCCTGCTCTGTATCTTTCTTCTACTCTGTGTCGTATTCATTAATATTTATCATTCATTATTACCAAATATCTAAATATAAGTCCAAAGTTGCACAAGATACGAGAAGACGTGTAAAATATCCAAATCATAGTACTTTTAATGCATTTCACAAAAAAGAATAACGTTCCATCGCACTGCTGTCTCCCCATTTACGATACCGAAAACTTCGCATAAAACTCCTCAGTCTAGTAACGACCGACGAGCACGCCCAAATAAATATAAATCGCAACCGGCGGGGCCGCGGGGGCCTGTTAACGACGTGCAAGGATAATTCACTGTGACCCGCGCGCGGGTAACGTCAATTAACGGACGCCGGTGATCAACCTTGATCGCGCGTATTTACAGCGAGTTTCGCCGTAGAAAATGACGGGTGCCGAGGATGAAAAGAACGACGACGAAAGTCACCTGGGTGACGTTCATGTGACGTTACAACACGCTCCCGCTGAGAATATTCATTACATTCCCTGGTACGGTTGATCTCCTTCGCGCCGGTAGCTCCTGGCTTCGAGGGCCCCGCGTTCGCTCTCTTCTCTCACAAATTAATCATAATTAGTTGCGAGATGTCCTCCAACGGTCCATTCCGGCCGGTGGCCGGAACGGGGGACGGAGGCGAGAGGCCGTGAAAGAGAAACGGTGAAGGAGTGGAGAGGAGGGCAATAAAAAAGGAACGAGAGGGGAAGGACACGAAGAAAGGAGAGACGAAAGAAAATCAGCCGGTCGAAGCGTGCATCCGCTCCTCTCGGCACTCGGGCTCGGGAGGGTGACCGGCGGCCCGGCCCGTTGCCTTTTCGAATCTCCCGACGCCATCCTGATTTTATTTTCGGCCAAATTGCGCGCAATTTTCGACAAATGGGCAGGTGTCCACGTAAGAATCCTTTCGCAGCTCCTGACGTCAATTAACAATGATTGGTCGTTGTCGGATGGTTATTACTTCTAATTGTCGGCCGGAAATCTTCGACGCTGTTGTAACCACGCGTTTCTGCTATTTCCGCGGCCCGCTGGATTGCATCCCCAATGCAAATTCGATCGCTGATGCCCGCCCACCTCCGCCGAGCACGGAATAATTACGTGTGTTTCTTCCTTTGCTCTAATACTGTTATTTGCCCGAATTCGTTGAACACACACTTCCGCGGACTCGGGCCCGCCGCGCTCGAATCTCGCCGGTGAACGGACCCCCTGAGCGGTAGAGGTGCGAAGACGCGTGTTTAACACTTCGACCGCCGCGTCCGGCGAAT